TCTGCCTGTCTGCCTGTCTGCTATTTGCCCATCTGCCGATCTGCGTCTGCCTGTCTGCCTGTCTGCGTGTCTGCCTATCTGTCTGTCTGCCTGTCTGCCTGTCTGCCTGTCTGCCTGTCTGCCTGTTTGGCTGTCTGCCTGTCTCCCTGTCTGCCTGTCTGCCTGTCTGCCTGTCTGCCTGGCTGCCTGGCTGCCTGGCTGCCTGGCTGCCTGGCTGCCTGGCTGCCTGGCTGCCTGGCTGCCTGTCTGTCTGTCTGTCTGTCAGTCAGTCAGTCAGTCAGTCTGTCAGTCATATTCAATGACACGACTTCAATTTTTTTTTGTTCTTCTAGTGCTGCGTTCCCAGTGAGTCTGAGAAAGTGCCATGACTAGCATGGTTGGGAACCCAAAAAGAGGGAAGCCCCGCAGACGCAGCGATGAAGCTCCACAAAGTTGTGATCCGAGGTCGTCAACTAGACAACATTAGACAACATTAGACAACAAGACCCCACCGACAAGAACAGACACTGAACACAGCGTCGCCTTGTCAACAAACAGGCAGACACACAAGAATCAGAAGGCAAGCCTGAACATGCTCGGATCTCAAGAGAGAATAGCAAACAAGTGGCCACCAGAATCCACCTTGGAGAGGGCGATGAATTCATGGAAGGACTCCAAGTGACAAAGGAGTTAACGGAGACACGTCAAAATCAATAAATCCTTACTCATCAGGAAACGACTGCGGCGGCAGCTGGGTAACAACTCCTTTCTCATCAGCCCAAGGATAGGGAAAGGAGCTGAAATCAGAGCATGAGCGCACCCATGCAGAAGCATGAGTTAGGAGTTGTGGTGGTGGGTGGGTGTTAGGTCACACCAAACACATGCGCCAGCCACTTTGGCTCCACCCGTTGGCCTTGGCAGCCAAAACGGCGTCGGAAGCACCAGGGATCAAAGCAGAAGGAAGTCCACAAGTTTCTACTCATGTTGTTTTCCATTGTTTTCCATTATTGGCGCTTTCATTGTGTACATTTTTTTTGCTGTGGTGTACTTGTGGCTTTGTCGCCAAGTCCTAGCTCGTGTTCCGGGCATGATTGTTTCCTTTGTTTTCTTGCGATGGTAGCGCGCTCAGGAGCAAGGAGTACCCGCCGGCTACTCCCAAACCATAAGACGCCATAAATCTTTAGTCATATAACGCATTTTGACGCAGAAAAACTTAAACCAAGAGAAACCCGCCCAACGCACCTCGCCAAACTAATCAAAAACCGCGCGCAGTGGAAGACAGCTTCTGGCACATCGTGCGCATCAAAAACCTATATATATACACACACTCAATTTCAGTGATAAAAAACGAAAAAAGTTGCCCCAAAAAATGGGCACTCACCAGGAATCGCAGAGCCAATGAAAACGCCGACCCTAGCCCTAGCACCCTCAGGTGGAACTGACACAGGCTTCCACGGGGGCTGCTACGACTACAGCCACAGGAAACCAGCCGGAATCGGCAAAGGCATTACCGACAACCAACCTAGGGACACTTGAAATGACATGAGCCCACAAAATTCAGTGAGCACCTCACGCTTGTGTGGACGCATTATTCCTTCGGTTTCCCTACATCCCGCTACATTGTATTCATTGTGGTTCGAAAATTCACATCGCTTCGCGCTCGAAGCCGCCCGCACGGAGTGTGTGTTGCCTGTCTCGGTCTGTCAGTGTGTCTGTCTCCGGGCAGGACACACGGACGAACTCACGCACCATGTCAATTGTATGTCTCGGTCTGTCTGTCTCGATCGGTCTGTCTGTCTCGTCTATCTCAGTCTGTCAGTCTGTGTCCCGGTCGGGAAGAACACACGGATGAACGCGCCCACGGTGTGGGGTGGACATGCGTCCGCGATGTCGATAATTGAAAGCACCCATGAGACCACCAAGCCATGGAAGGACATGTACACGTAAGGTCATGCTGTCCGCAGTTCGAGGGTGGGCTCGAGAACTCGTTCGCTTAGCGGAAATAGGCGCTTGAGGTGCGCTGTTTGCTAGTTACCGTTCGGTGGTAAACTCGTTGCGCGCGGTAGGAGCCAGCCGGGGGGCTCATTAACAATACCCCGGCAAGGTGATGCCAGAGGACCGCGATTCTGTTCCTTCATGGGATGGCTCCCCAGGGACTTTCGAATCCTATGTGACTGCTTGTAAGTGGCACTCCAAGGGGACCAAGGAGAGCGAGAGAAAGCTGGTGGTGGCACGTCTGTGGAGTAGGCTCACCGGCGCTGCCAAGTCAATTGTCCGGTATGCTGACCCCGACCAATCCGATCACGATGACTGACTGACCCAGTTTTTGGCGCTGCTCAGAGAGAGCCCCCTTCAGAGATTACCAGTTCCTGACAGTTTTAGCAGGTTGGACAAGTGGAGCAATCTCAAGAGGACAGATCGGGAAACGGTGGCCGAACTCATTGTGAGGGAAGAAGAGCTGTTCACAGAGCTACAACAGTCGCTGGCCCGCGCCCGACTGGATAGGATGACTCCTGGACAGGATTTTCTGACTTCCCGAACAACGGTTCGAGTTGATCCACCGTCGACGCCTTCAAGGAGCCCAATGTCCGGAAACCGTGCTGGCGAAGAGCGAGGTCGTGAGTCTGGCACTCAGACATTTCCATCAGCAGGACCGATTCACACTGGAATGGTTCAGGGATCATCAACAGCTGCAACTGGAGATTTCTTTGAAGACGAGTTGAGAGGATATCGCTTGTTGCGTGCATGTCGACTATCGGGTCATGAACGACAGAATGTTTTGGTACAAACGGCAAACTCTACAAGTTTTCTGTTGGTACGTCGAGCATTGAGAACATTGTACAATGATGAGACAACAGAGCGATCAACAGCTGGAACTAAGCGGATCTGGTGGACCGACAATTCCATGGAACCGGAATGGGGCGATGGAGAAGGATTTGAGGAGTATGTGGACGACCTCTGGTGGTCAGATTGGCCAGCATGGCATGATTGGACTACGTCCGATGAGACAGGTGCAACTTCCTGGAGTGCAGACGACTGGAGTGAAGCTGGTGGAACGATGGTTGGGCAAATGAAGAAGAGGTTCTGCCAGATGAGGCTTCAGGGGATCCGGAGGAGTCGCAACTGTCGGAGGCCTTTGCGATCGCCAACGAGGCGAACAGAACGTTGAAGGAAGCCAGAGAGGCGGTTCGTCGAGTTCGAGCTGCGCGGGGGTATACGCGCCCGAGTCCAATTCGGGCAAGGGCAAATCAGGAGGATCATCCAAACCGAGCTCACCGACCTCCAAAGGAGGAAGCAAGAGTTCTTTTGGACCATGCTTCATTTGCGGCATGCGTGGACATGGTTGTCAAATGTGCCCTGATCGCTTTGCCCCCAAGGGCAAGAGCATTGGAGCTGGAAAAGGGCAGAGTTTCAAGGGCAAGGGCGCTGGACCCGGGAAAGGAGCTGGCTTCAAGGGCAATAGCAAAGGCAAGGGTTTCAACAAGGGTTCATTCGGCAAGGGGAAGACATACAACATTTCTGGTGTTTTGGCCCAGTGGGACGACCATGCATCACATGGCAGAGCACCCACTCGTGCGATCTTGGACACTGGGGCAACCAAGAATGCCATTGGTTTGGACTCCCTACATGACCTTGTGAGCATTGCAGTCCGGACATTTGACGATCGACCTGGCCGAGGCTCCAATCTACAACATCGACGGGACTTCTCCAAAGCAGGCGCGCCCAGATAGCGTGCAAGACACGGGAGCACATGTTTTGATGATTTCAGTGGAGCATGAGTCTTTTGCAGTGCAATCGTGTTTGCAGAGCTCTGATGTGCAGCACCGGTTGAAGCATCTGGCCCAAAGAGTCACTGATCTCAGGAACGTCTCCAAGCCTGGATATGACCTCCCGAGCAGCCTCAGCATGCGACGATCCCCGACACACCGGATACCCATGCACAAGGAGGGACGATAGAGGAGCAACCAATTTGCCACTTGGGTGAATTGCGCCAAGTGCGGAGTGAGAACCGCATACCTGTCCAAGGACAAGGCCCATGGGGAGAGACGCCACATGGGTCCGGAACCGCTTAGCCCTGGAGGAACTTCAGCAGACGGCGCAACCAGCGGCATGCGCGGAGCAGATGGTCAATGGGAAGCTCATGGAAGTCAAAGGAAAACTACTCCAGATGGGAGTGCATGACGATGGCCATCAACATGTCCTACTGGGCGAGCCGACGGGAAGACCACGTCGCAGATCGCGCAGGAGCACTCAACTCGGGCAGCCGCCAAAGCAGCAGCAGGGCCGACGAGGCCAACCCAGATCGAGACCTTGGAGAGTCATGTGATTCTGGAGGCCGAGAATCTGGAGTTGCGGCAGCGAGCCGAGAGAGCGGAGGCCCTAGCACAAGAAGCCCTGCGGAGGACGGAGATTCTGGGAAATCAAGCTCGACGTGTGTTGGCAGCCCAGGAGGAGATCACCAAGAAGGTCGAGGAGAAGGAGGCGATGGACCAACCGGATGTGATCGTGATTGGGGATGGGTCCAGCGAAGCGGGGACTGTGGGAGCGGAGCAGCTTCGAGAGTCCAAGATGAAGGAGGAAATGCTGGCCAACAAGGATCCCCAGCAAGCAGGCTATGGCAGCGGATCTGCGCCCTCAGGAGGACGATGAGCCGGCAAGGAGGCTTGGAGGAGGAGAGATTGAGTCAGGGACGGAACCCTGAAGCTGAGATGGCAGCACACGACACCCATGGCACTACGAGCACTACGA